TCATTGCTAGACACAGGGCTATCTACTTCCTCTATTAAAGTTCACTTGGTGACTATATCTGTGTTCCATTTTGGTGTGGATTCTAAACCTGTGTTTTCAAATGCACTTTCAAAAAGTTTTATGAAAGGTTTGCTCAATTTATACCCTCCTGTAAAAACCCCGCTCCCTCAATGGAGCTTATCTCACGTACTTTCCCAGTTAATACATAAACCGTTTGAACCGATGACTTCATGTGATCTTTCTTCCCTATCCTATGAAACAACTTTCCTAGTTACAATTACGTTGTCACGCGGGGTGGTCAAACTGAGAGCACTGAGGCATGATGCCCTTTCTTTTTTTAAAAAAATATTATTTTATTACATACAACATACAATAAAAAATATTGATACAGTAACAACAAAAAGGAGAAATTAACTTTCCAAACAGTATCTTGTTGACATACATAACAACTATAGCTACATCAAACTAATAGATAACTAACATCAAAACTAAAAGTTATACAATATCAGTAACCCGCAATTCAACCTAATGAAACATGTATAGTGGCAAGGCATTTGTCCAAGGATTACGTGGCCTGGCATGATGCCCTTTTTCTTGGATTCCACAAGGACAAGGTTGTCTTGAGACCCAGTCTTGAATTTACTCCAAAGGTAGTCTCTCAGTTCCACTTGTTGCAGGACATAGTTTTACCAGGGTTTTTTCCTAATCCTCAATCCCCAGCTGAACAAGCAATGCGCACACTAGACGCGAGGAGGGCATTATTATTTTATTTGGATCATTCATAGTCTTTTCATAAAGACACCAACCTTTTCAACTCTTTTGCTGAACCAAACAAGGGAAAAGCAGTCTCTGCACAAACTCTTTATAGGTGGGTAATGGCTGCCATAAAAATTTCTTATGATGCAGCCCATTTAGAATGCTTGTTTCCCCTGAAGGCGCACTCGACCAGAGTTCAAGCATCCTCTGCAGCCTTCCTAGCCGCCCTTGACATCACAGAGATCTGCAAAGCAGCGACTTGGTCCTCACTGTCAATGTTCATTAAGCACTTCTGCATCGATGTGGACTCCAGGAAGGACTTGGCTGTGGGGAAAGCAGTGCTGCAGTCACTATTGTGTTAATTGGCCCACACCCACTTCCCTGATAAGCCAGTTTGCTAATCTCCCATGTGGAACTGCACAGAAGACACAAAGATGAAAACATGGTTGCACTTACCTGTAACTTATGTTCATCGAGAGTCTTCTGTGCAGGCACACATCCCTCCCTCTTTCCCTACTATGGGCTCTACTCAGTATTCTTAATCTCCATGGTGGTGGAAAGAAGGACTGAGGGAAGAGTGCTCCCTGTCAAAAGATCACTTAGCCCAGCCCAGGCCAAATTTTGTTACAGGGCTGCAACACAAAAGTACAAAACCCTGCGATGTGATTGTTCACACACCAGTCTGCTAGTCTGCCACCAGCCCCTTTAACTAATCTAATAGTCAGAAGCCAAAGGGCAAAGCTTCTAACCCTCCTGAGTCTAAATCAGAAAGTCCACCCTGCAAGGAAGGCTCATAGAAGGAGTTTCTCACAAAAGACAAATTACACTGGTAGGTGTTCAGCCAGTGTCGGCTCTGGATTTAGACTTGAGGATTGTGAAAGCAAATGACCACAAAAGTAAATTGAAATATATTTGTATTAAGGTGCAAGAATACTTCAAGCGGAAACAAAAGATAAAAATAAGAAATCTAGAGTTTTAAAGGCTAGCTAAAATTGTAATACACCGGTTCCAAGCTACAATATATTACTGATTCTCAGATGGAAGTTCCAGTGATCCAAAGTGGCTCTACTCCTGAGTCACCACAGGCCAGAGCTGTTTGGCCCATGCAAACAAGTATCCAAGATTGCTGAAAGTGAGCAAGAAGATGTCTAAATGGCTGGGTCTCAGGTAGCCATGATTAAGCTGAGGATAGACGAACATCTCATGTCTTTATGGGTAAAGGGACCCTTGCGGTTCCAGGCCTATGAACCAGTAAGGTCTCTAAGTGATGACACGTAGCCTAAGTGCTGAACCAATGGCTGAACAGGTGATGTAAATGGTGGTCTGGCCTGGGAGGAAGGAACAAAGCCAATGTGCAGCTTCCCACAAGTGCAAATCATGGGCCCAATTGAAAGGAATGTGGCTAATTGGAAAGCTGGTACCAGGCTTCACACTTCCTTCTGCAGGTGCTGTTATCTCAGCTGTACAAGGTCACTGTGTTCTTTTTCAGCAAGGCAGTTTTGAACTCTGTTTAACTCACAAGCAGGCCGCATTCGAAGCCTGAACCAAACCTTGGTTCCCTTAAAATTCTGTTCAGATTCAAAGTTCTTTACACTCCCCCCACCCCTCATCATGTGATTGTGTGGGCAGAAACAGTCTGAGCTCTGTAGTGACAAGAGGAGGGGGAGCACTCAGCTGTAAAACTCTAGAAGCTTGTAGAAAACTTCTCCACAGCAGGTCTGTTTTCTCCTTGAGTATACACTGTTCAGATGGGAGAAAATAGGATTCAAAAGTTTAAAGGAAGAGTCAGTTGTAGTTTATCTCAGTGGCTTTTTAGGCCCTCTGGGGGTGCCTGCTGGATCACAGTCCAGCATCTGCATTCGCTAGTGAAGGCTTTTAAAGTCTGGGAATGGGTTTAAACCAAGGTATAACGGTTGAACTGTTTGGCCCTGGTTAGTACTTCAGCGGGAGACAACCAAGGAAGTCCAGCGTTGCTATGCAGAGGCAGGCAGTGGAAACCCATTGCCTTGAAAAGCATATGGGGTCACCACTAATGTTCCCTCTAAGCTGTGGAGTCTTCTGAGCAAGAATTGTACTTTGTGAGCTATTGGCATTAAAGTTGTGAGCGAGTGATTTGGCCACTACATAAGTTAGTTTGCCCTGGAGCCATCCTTCCTGAGCTAAGACAAAAATGTGTGAGCTGGAGGCTAAAAACTGTGAGCTAGCTCACACTAACTCAGCTTAGAGGGAACACTGGTCACCACCACAAGTCAACTGCGTCTTGTTGGCACTCTCCACCACCAACCGTCGAACTGTGGCTTTTTGACATACCTTGGAAGCCTTAATACTAAAATATCTAATCTTATATAGGATTTGGTCTTCTTAAAAGGAACATGGGGTTCGTTGAATGGAAATCATAGGTCTGTCCTTATCTGTTCATGCTGTATTTCCACCGCTCTTCCCTGTCTTACACTTGTATATTGAAAGGGACAACTGCTTAAGAGGAGAGGTCAGTGTATAGTAGTGCAGCAACAGTAGCTAATTTGTTTGGCTCGGTCCAAGATCCTAACTAGAATAACTCTTGACAATAAGGTGTTGCCTGTATTGCTACACCCTTATGTTTTTATTATAGAGTGTTTGAAAATGCAGAATACCTCTTACTTTGGCGTTTTGTAATTGATACTCTTACAGATGCGCATTGTAATCATTAGAGAGTCTTCCTGGCTGAAAAAGACAAAAGCGTAGTCTGTAGTGCACACAGAAATGAAATTAAGAGTGCATAAGTGGCTTGGTATATAAATTTATTTATTTAAAACATTTATATGCCAGTTTTCCACCCAGTTAGGGTCCCCAAGGCAACAAACAAAACATTCAAAACATTATATATGTAAAACATAAACATACGAACACTAGTGAGAGGGATGTAGGCGTTCCTTGTACAGTGTGGAAAACATCCACCTGAATCACTTCCAGTTAATATGTAATGACATATTAAAACATTGAATTCAGTGTTATGGAATGTGGTGGATTTGTAACAGATAAGAGACCATAGCCTTGTAGATCTTTCAAGCGTAGTGTCTGCACAATGATTTATGGCTATATCGTGAAATGTCTCCACTTCAGTTCACATTTTCTCTTTCTGTGTGCATCTTCACTCTAGATCAGGGCATGTTTCGACATATTGTTTGTTTATTTATTTAAATTTCTACCCCGCCCTCCCCACGAATGGGCTCAGGTCGGCTAACAAGTAAGGGCACCATGTTATTACCCCAGTTACATATATTTTATGCAAACTGTTCTAGCTGTTACAGTTTGCATCTTGTCGTTCTGTTGGGATCCTTAATGCATAGTTTTCAGTATATTGATACAAATACAGACCATCTCTTTCATAAGCAGTAATATAGACTCTGTTAGTGTGGAATCCTCGTAATAACATAACTTTCTTTTCTTTTTTGTTCCTCTTTGGAAAGATAATGGCGCTGTTGCATACAGATCACGGCTGAAGCTCACTACCATGATGTGTTAAGGAGCACTGCATTTGGCGGGCATCAATATTATTAGAGAACTTACCAGAATCTAGTAGAGGAAACCCTGCCAAAGGGCTCTTCCAAAGTTGTACAATGCTGGGCAGCAGCTGATCAGTGTCTTAAAATAGGGCCTGTCTTGGCCATGCGCCAGGGGAGGGGGGGGAAAGAGAGAGAAGAAACACTTACTGTGAATCAAAAGTACTCCTTAGATTTTCTCCCTTTTTATGTGTTGGTAGACAAATGTTCTTACTTGGCTTGTCTCCCTCCCTTTTTTGTGTATCTACTTTAAATCATTAATTCAAATTGGGGGATCATACTAATAACATTGCAGTTTTATGCAGTGTGAGTGCAGACATGTCAGCATATTCTGTGCATCTTATGTGTTGTGCAGTGTGGTGCTGAAGTGTTGGTGTTCTGTCCCCCATGAAATAGTCTGGTGGTCATTTGTTTTGGCAGACAAATAGAGGAAAGGTTGCATTTATTTTAAACAATAGCATATCCTTTTTAAACATAGAGTGTTCCTAGCAGTCTTTGAAAATGGACTACGTTCTCAGCTGGTTTAGGTTGGCCAAACACCAAGATGTGGGTTTAAATCAGTTAAAGACCTGGTCCATCTGCTAAGCATATGCAGGAAGCACTCCCTGTACCTTCACGGATAACTTTAAATTAGCACTGGTCACATTTAGGAACAAGAGGGTACCAACTTGTGTAATTCTCTCATTGCTATTTCCCCAACAGCTCTGAAAAGTCCAGCTGCATTTCATGAACAGAGGAGAAGTTTGGAACGGGCCAGGGTAAGCTATCAGTTCTTTGAAGAGTTATTATACCAGGTGTCTTCCAAATCTGGGCCTAAAATCCTACTAAGCCACTGATTTTCTCTAGCGGATCTTGAGATATGACATGATAGTTTTTGTGTCTCCCATTCCCTTCGTGAGTGATATCATCAATTGAATTAGAGTCTAAAACCCAAAGCCCTTGACCTGAGATAGTGTCCGTCTTTACCTGCCCTACAATTTATATGATTCCTCTGAAGCCTTCTGTGTTGGCCTGATGAAACAGAAACTAAATGAATTTTTTTTGGAAGAAGCAGGTGCCATTCTTTTTGGATCTTAGGACCTCCTGGAGAGCTGGATGAGAGCAACATTTTAATCTGAATGTAAAGTTTCAGGCCATGCTTCCTACAAGGAGAGCGGGGCAGTGTATATGTGTCTCCTTTTCCCATTTGATGCCCACAACAACCCTGTCAGGTTGGGTAGCTTGAGAGAGAATGACTGGCCCCGGTCACCCAGTGAACTTCATGGCACTTTGGGGGATTTGAACCTGGATTTCTCAGATCCTAGCCTAGTCCAGTCCAGTTATCTGACCATTGCATTACCCCATGAATGCCTTGGCTACTGGACAAATTATTTGTACTTGAAGCCATGAGAACTGGAGCCTGAGTGAGTTAATTCAAATGTTGGTGCCCTTTCAAAGTATAGGGAAGACCCGTCTTTCAAGATATGGGACTGGTTTTGCCTGAGTTTCCCTATCAATAGGGAAACAAAAACATATTGGAAACAGACATTTAACATACTGCAGTGTAAGCATCTCAAACAACACTTGGCTCTTAAGTTTGGTAACCAGGGGTCATTTTGTAGAAAAAGAGGTGCAGGAGCTCATTACCATAACTTATTAGCATGACTTATTTGCATATGCCACACCCCCTGACATCACCGGAAGTGTGTCAGAAGGCAACACCCACCGCTCAGGCTCCAGTGGACTGTTTTGGATTGCTAGCTATTGGGGGGGGGGAAGAACATGCAGATCTGTCCTCACAGAGGTGGGAGGGCTTGTACCTGAAGGTGGGCGGGGGGGGGGGGCTCTGCAACTTACCTGGCTGCTTCTTGCTCCTCGTGGTCCGATTGAGGGCTGCTGGGAGCAGGGGGCGGGGCTTGTTGCATGTGCCCGCCCCCTGGGCTCCTTACTGCTGGAGCTCCGCTCCTGTGGGCTCCCGCAGGAAATGACCCCTGTTGGTAACCCATTTTTCTCAGGTTTTCCAGTCAAGTGCTGTAGAATCAGCCTGCCTAGCCAGTGAGTGAGGTGGTTCTTTGCCTGTTGCGCTCTCCAATGTCAGGCCTCGTTAGAGCCTGAAGGGAACGGCTGTTGCCATATGCCAAATAATCCAAGATGCATTTTTTTTTTTAAGCTATTAAATTCTTCTTGTTCTACTTGGGACCAGCATGTCTTGTGTTGTTTGTCCTGCAGACAGAGGACTACCTGAAACGGAAGATCCGGTCCCGGCCAGAGAGATCGGAGTTGGTGAGAATGCACATCCTGGAAGGTATGGTCCCTAGTAGGCCCCTAATATGGCAAACTTTCCCACTTGTTACTAGTGTGGCATTCATGGTTTGTTCCCCCTGCTTTTGTTCAGTCAGCGAATGAATGAATAAGGGCCTGGAAATTTGACTGGTAGATTGAGAACTCATTCTTGCAGCATCTTGCAGATGATTGTTTGAATGAGTAGTCTGTCAGACCTGTAATCACTTAATCACGTAAGCATGCACCATAAGAACACATGGACAGGCAAGCCTCTTTTGTGAGCAAGGTGGACAGAGTTGGTTCTCATCAAGGACCAATGTCTTAACTGCTTGTGCTGCGTATGTTATTTCTTTCATTCTACTGTTCCGGAGTCCCGGCAGGGTGCTGCAGCAGTAGACCCAGCACAGCACATTGCTTTAAAAGTTGCCCAGGAATGTCGCTTATATTATTGCAGTGTTGGCAAAACGATATCTTTGCTTTAGAAATAGTTGTCCTATGGTCTTCCTGAGACAGCTGTGAAGAAAAGGACCAAGACAAAGTGAAGTGGTGTTGATTAGAGTTACTTCTCCTGAACTAGAGACCCGGCTAAAAGCGTTTAAAGTGCGAGGTGTACATGTGTGTAAAAGCACGGGATCCATTTGGATTAGCAGTGAACAATTTATTCATTATTAGTAAGGCTCTGAACGCTGCGACTTATTTGGGTATTTGTTTCGAACACACAGGGCTGGTGTTACGGTGAAAGACACTCATGCATGTTGAGGTGGGCTGAGGGAGTGAGCTTCTCCAGTTGATTCTAGAGACCAAGGTCTGCTTCAGAAGAGGGTGGGTTGTGATTGCATCTGTGAATCCTGCACTGATCATATTGTTGCTCCTTCCCTCGAGCAGAGACATCTGCTGAACCTTCCCTGCAGGCCAAGCAGCTGAAGTTGAAGAGGGCCAGACTGGCTGATGATCTCAATGAGAAGATTGCCCAGCGGCCGGGTCCCATGGAGTTGGTAGAGAAGAACATTCTGCCAGTGGAATCTAGCCTGAAGGAAGCTATCATTGGTAAGGTTGGTGGCAAGAACAGGTCTGTGTATGTGTGTTGGAGACAATGGCAAGTTACGAACAATTCCCAGTATGCTTATTCTGTCTATAGAAGCAGAATAGAATAGTTTCATTGTTACAGATGGAAATCCTGTGCAAATTCTACAAGTTCTAATAGCAGTCCAGGCCTCACAGCTTGCGTAGGCCGTATCACATAACTCTCTGTTGTGATTTCAAGAGGGGAGAATGTTTAGAGCAGCTGTTGTGAAGTTGTTGTGAAGCAGCATCTCTTTCCTCATGGAAGGCTGTAAACTTCTTGGATGCTAAGGAAATAACTATGTAGCATAGTTGACACGGAGGACAATAATCCATTGTGTCACCTTCCTCAAAAACTGGTGCTATATTTCCAGTGCTTGCTTGACTTCTTGCTTGCATGCGTGTTTGTTCTTCGTGATCTGGGCATCTCAAAGTCAGGCCTTAAGCCTGGATGTAATGAAAGGGTTGCTCCGTTTGCTGTGCAGAGGCACACAAAGAACATTTCTGTTAACCAGCTTAACCATATCTCACCAGTTGATGATAGCCATTGCGAAGGAGATACCTAACATTTAAGAACATAAGAGAAGCCCACGTTGGATCAGGCCAATGGCCCATCTAGTCCAACACTCTGTCACACAGTGGCCAAAAATACCAAGTGCCATCAGGAGGTTCATCAGTGGGGCCAGGGCACTAGAAGCCCTCCCACTGTTGACCCCCCCAAGCACCAAGAATACAGTGCATCACTTGCCCCAGCCTTAGAGTTCCTATCTATACCTTGTGGCTAATAGCCACTGATGGAACTCTGCTCCATATGTTTATCTAATTCCCTCTTGAAGCTTGTCCATGCTTGTAACCACCACCACCTCCTGTGGCAGTGAATTCCATGTGTTAATCACTCTTTGGGTGAAGAAGTATTTCCTTTTATCTGTTCTAACCTGACCGCTCAGCAATTTCATGGAGTGCCCACGAGTTCTTGTATTGTGAGAAAGGGAGAAAAGTACCTCTTTCTCTACCTGCTCTATCCCATGCATAATCTTATAAACCTCAATCATGTCACCCCTCAGCCGTCGTTTCTCCAAGCTAAAGAGCCCCAAGCGCTTTAGCCTTTCTTCGTAGGGAAAGTGTTCCAACCCTTTGATCATTCTAGTTGCCCTTTTCTGCACTTTTCCCAGTGCTATAATATCCTTTTTGAGGTGTGGTGACCAGAACTGTACACCGTACTCCAAATGAGGTCGCATCATTGATTTATACTTCCTTATATTTGCTTCCTTTTCATTCCTAAGTTTCTTTAGCATGGTCCAGACACATCTCATAGTAGTTACAATTGACTCTTATCGTCTGTTGTATGGTGAATGAACTTGGCTTTTATTGTTTCCAGTGGGGCAAGTAAACTACCCAAAGGTAGCAGATAATTCCTCCTTCGATGAGGACAGCAGTGATGCCCTGTCCCCAGAACAGCCGGCCAGCCATGAATCCCAGGGGTCTGTGCCATCCCCAATGGAAGCTCGGGTTGGCGAGTCGCTTCCCACCCCCACAGTGATATCCCCTGCTCAGGTGAGAATGTGCAGTGTTGGCTCCTGTTGCGCTCCTCAGCCTCAAGGGTTCTCAAGCATCACCAATGCCCTGAACCCTGCAGGAAAAAATGTCGCACAAATGATCGATGACAGTAACATACCTACCAAACAAACAAACAAACAAAAATCCTCTGATGTTTGAATCTTAAAATGGTACTAATGGCTTAATTTGTGGAGGATAGCAGATGGAAAGGAAGGCCTGGTGATAACTCAGCTGGGGAAAAGGAGTCTGGGCTCCTGGCCTTGGTCTTTGATGCTGGGAACTGTGCTTGCTCAGAGAGATGTCTTTCTGGGTGTAAATCTGAGTCTGAGAAGTAAAATGTAAAAAACCCCTCAACAACTAGGGCCTGTATCACTTTCTGCACCATTAACAAACTGTGGTTTGTTTATGAGAAGAACAACGCAGAAAGTCTTTAGGCTTCAGACTGAAGATTGGCTGGTGTAGAACTAATCAGATGTGTTGTTGTATCTAAACAAATTATGGTTTTCTTTCCTCTTTTGCATAATTTGTTTCTTGTCTGTGAGCCCTTGTATACTATGATTTAGTTGTGGTTTGTAAGCAAGGAACAAAATCGCTATTTGCTAAGGCTCCTGGCCTTGTCAATTGGGACATCAGAGCAAACTGTTGTCAGTTCTGATCCAAGGATGTCTTCTGTCTGAATGCAGCACTGAGGGGTCGGGAGGAGGGTGTGTGTGAGCCCAGTTGCCTCCTGGCTTGTTCTTTGTCACCAACAAGGCATTTTGTTTGTTTGTTTGGGTTTTTTTTCTTTCCCTCTTTCTGGTCTGAATTTAGCCATAATCTGTAGGCCGTGCCTCCATAGAATAGTTTCTACCTTGTGGCACCCTGTTAATATGGATGTGTGTACTCTGGTTTATTGTTGCAGGTTGCATCTCAGTTAAAAGCCAGTGCAGATCCTTGTGACACCCCTTTCCTGACTGAGCAGCCACCAACTCCCCTGCCACCCCTGGTGCTTCCTAATCTCACCAACGGAGTTGTGGCTCCTGCTGCCAAACCACTTCCAACCCTTATTAAGGTAGACCTTCACGAAGAGGTTAACATGTGGGTTAAAAACTGGGAGGGGGAATCCAGTCCCCTCCACTGTGGGGGTTGAGCGAGAGATGCTGAGTAGACTCTGGTCTTGGCCATCAGCACCTTTGCTCATTTCCTTTCCTGTCTCCTCTTAACGCATTATGATACGGAGGTCTTCATTTACAAAGTAGCGTATTAAAAAAGAAATTAAGCCTGTGAACTTGTCTGTGCTCTCCATTGGCACTGGTCCTAATAAAATGCAGCTGTTTGGTGGTAATAGGGCCTGGGGGTAAGAAAGAAACTCTTCCTCTTGAGTATGTGTTCGACAATATATATCAGTGCCTTCTCTGACACAGGAGCCCTTTTAGTCTCTTGTGAACCTAGTAATCTATTGGTAGAATCATAAATACTTCACGTCCTACTTATGGGACAAAAATGGCTCTTAGAGAATTGCTAAGAATTTTATATTCTGCCAAACAAAATGTCAGTGAATGGTTTCAGGACAAACCAGTACCATGTAATGCATTTTTATACAGTTATGTAATTGGCAATTTTTAACTGAAGAGTCTGGTATATTTTAGTGAAAAGCTACGTGAGAATCTGTGTGTGTATGTTGAACCTAAAAGTCTCTTAAGGGGACTTGGTGTATGGAACCAACATGATGAACGGGCTAATCATTACTGTCTCTGCACCCTTTACTCTTACTGTCATCATGTCTGGCATTTGCCTGATCCCTCTATTTTCTGACTTCAAAACAGCAAAGCCAGTCCAAGTCCTCCTGTGAGAAATCCCAGCGCAGCAAGAAATCCAAGGAGCCAAAGCCGAAAGTCAAAAAGCTGAAATACCATCAGTATATCCCGCCGGACCAAAAGCAGGACAAAGGAGCCCCTCCCATGGATTCATCGTATGCCAAAATCTTGCAGCAGCAGCAGCTCTTTCTGCAGCTCCAGATTCTGAATCAGCAGCAGCAGCAGCACTACAACTATCAGACCATCTTACCAGCTCCACCAAAGTATGGGTTCCCGCATCCTGCGGTTTGTTCTTCTCCATTTCGCGGGCGTCAGAGCAGCAGTTAGTTACCTAGCTGTTCTTTCATCTTCAGCAGAAAATGGGGGCTTGCTGCACAATGAGAGAAAGGGGGTAGGTCATGGTACATCACCCACTGTTTCCCTCTTATTCTGGAGACTATTCACTCTTGTAGTCAGTCACATTCCGAATCTAGAGAGGTGCATAACTTGCCATTTTCAAAGTTATCTTACTGTGTGAATGTGGCAGAGTTACTGAAGAAGCAGTGAAGTTAGGCAAAACTGTCAGTGTGCTGGGTGGGGGCAATATTTATGTAAGCACTTTAGAAGTGTCTGGCAGTACTACTTTGTGTCTTTGCCCCCCCCCCCCCAAAAATCAATTTTAAATAAAAGTTGCAGGGTATTTAATTTGCAGTGCCCAATAACTGGTAGTGACTTCAGTCCTAGCTACTCTTTTTGTGGGCATAAGGAGGGCAAGCAAGTCTTGTCATCCCCGCCCCCACCAAACGGGAGTCACCAGTATTGGTCCTGGGAGGCAGGGGACTCTCAGGAATGGCTTGGGGGAAGTCAGTGCAAATTCTCCCCACCACCACCATGGAAATTCTAGGCAGGATCCAAGCCAATTCCTGCTTATCTGAGAGCATACATCTATCAGCATACATGACTCATAATCCATAAGTACTAGCAAGCAGCATACACTGAAGCTGCCAAAATGATTTTTCCTAGCAGTCACTAGGGGTGTCCATTCAGCTCTACCTGAGCTGAAGATATTCAGGTATATTTCAGCTGGGGTTTTTTTTTTTTTCCTGAATTACTGGGTAGATCCGAAAACAGTGGACAGAGAGGAGCAGATTGCGCCTGCCTCTCAGCTGTTTGCCAGGCCTCTGCTGCAGATCCTTTAAAGTTTAAACTGTGCTGCAGGAGAAGCCAAGCCTGACGCAAGATCGGGCTGGCTCCCCCCCCCCCCGGCGCAGCACTGTGTGCCCCCAAAAAATCAGTATTTCTGATTTTCCAGAAATACCAAAAGTTTTTCGGGTCCAGTAGACCCAAACCGAAAAATACTGATTAAAAACAAATTGCACCCCCCTGGCAGTCACTAAGCCGGGAACGTTTGCACTTGCTGTTTCTTGTGAACCGACGTCTTGGAAGAGGCCTGCGATGGGTGTTGGCTTCCCACTGGTGGGTGGGGAACGGCACTCGGATCCGCTCTGCCACGGAGTACTCAGTCCACCCTTTCCTTCCCCCTCAGGCCTCCCGGAGAGCAGCAGAGTGGCAGTAGTGCCCCGCCCATGCGTAGTCTCTCTACAGCTGTCAGCAGCACCTCTTCTGTTTCTTCCAGTTCTAACGGGTTGATGCGACAAAACAGCAATGCTCCCACGGGCAAGCCAGGAACTCTCCCTCCTAATCTGGATGAAATGAAGGTAAGCTCTGGCCGCTGCGACTGTAGCTGATGGAGAATGCTGGGACGTCAGGTTTTCAAAATAAACGTGTTTGCTGCTAGTAGAACTGCAGTCATTTAGCTCTGTGATAGCAGCTGGTAGAATAAGTGTGGTGTAGGGGTTGGAATATCAGACTAGAGTCTGGGAGAGCCAGGTTCGAATCCCCCACTCGTGAAAACTCCCTGGGTGACCTTGGGCCAGTCACAGTCTCTCAGCTGGATCTGCCTGGGTGGTTTTGAGGGTAAAATGGAGGCGCGGACAACAGTGTCGTCAGCCACCTTGAGGAGCAAAAGTGGGACCTGAACATCTAAATAAATAAATGCTTTGAGGGTGGAGTGGATGTTAATTGGCACAAGGTGATTGTTCTGTTGCTACTTTAAAGGTGTTAAAAACTGGAGGGCGTCATCCTCCTGGTTTAGTTTGTGCGGAAGTACTGCAGCTTTTGATGCAATTCTAACTCTTATTAGGTGGCAGAGCTGAAGCAAGAGTTGAAGCTGAGGGCGCTTCCTGTGTCGGGTAACAAGACAGATCTCATTGAGCGGCTCAAGACCTACCAGGAGCAGAGTGGTACAGTTGCCCACGCAGCCTCCGCTCCAAAGCCCAACGCGGCGATTTTCCCCAAAGCTGCGGAGGTGGTGGTAGCCTTCCCGGCTGCTCGGCTGGGCACGGGGCCGGCGCTGGTTAGTGCAGGTCTCACTTCAGCAGAAGTGGTCGTGGCCACCGTGGCTGGCAACGGCGTGATGAAGTTCGGCAGCACAGGCTCCACTCCTCCTGTGTCTCCCACCCCCTCCGAGCGCTCGCTGGTGAGTGCCGGGGACGAGAACTCAACGAGCGGGGATGCCTTTGGGGAGATGGTGACCTCTCCTCTGACACAGCTCACCCTGCAAGCCTCCCCGGTGCAATTCCTGGTGAAGGAAGAGAGCTCCAAAGCCACCAGCTGCGGCTCAAATCCACTGTCGCGGGTGGAGCCTTGTTTCAACCGCAGCAAAGACGTGGAGGCCCAGGACAAAGACCAGATGCTGCAAGAGAAAGACAAGCAGATCGAGGAGCTCACGCGCATGCTGAGGCAGAAGCAGCAGCTAGTAGAGATGCTGAAGCTGCAGCTGGAACGGGAGAAACGGTCTCAGCAGCCTCTGCCGGCCATGGAGCTTGGGGAGGAAGGCGCGGCTCCAGCCCCTGAGCCACCAGCCTTTGGCATCCCGGCCAAGACGGAAAAAGGTTTCACGAGTTGCCAATCCACGGGGCAGCCCAGCTGCCCAGCTGACCAAGCAAAACCCACACAGACCACTAGCCAAATGGACACCTCGGATTCAAGCTCTGTGCCAAAGGAAGCCGCGATGGTGAAGCAGGAGGCCCCAGAAACTGCCACTGAGTCATCATGTCAAACCTCCCGTTTTTTCCTTGGCCAGCAAAGTGGAGGCATCAGTGACCTCATCAAAGGAGCGCCTCCCCCTACCCTCATCAGAGATTCCACGGGCACTCACATAGTGCTCACAGTGACCAATCAGAAAGCTGAGAGGCAGGGCCTCTCGCATCAGGAGAAGGCGGGGAATGGCCCTTTACCGCAGAAGGTAGGCAACTGTGTCGTAGCACTTTGCACCCGGGGCATTTTTTTTTTTTTTTTACCCAGAAGAGTGGCTCTTAAATAATGAACAAACTCCTAGCCACTCGTTCTCCTTCGCAAGTTAAAACGGCTGCGTATTAAATGGTATGAAATTTGTGCATCCTTCAAGACACAGGAGATCATCTTATTTGCTTCGTTCTTCCCCACATCTAGAAACCACCCACTGGGTTTGTATTCAGCGTCCCTACAGTCCCCACACCACTGTTTCCCTACCCAATCTAGCTGCTGCACCGTCTGTCCACCAGTTCATCCCTCTGCATGGCTCTTGTGCCATAGAGCCAGAAGGCGCAGGCACACACACGGATGCATACTGACATTAACAGAGGGATGTGCCTAAGGCTCAAGGCTAGACATGATGACTTTCCATGAGCTGGATCTAGGTCCCCTGCACAATGTGAATACTGTATATGCAGCTCCAAACTGCTCTCCTGGGACCATTTCAGATCGGGAAAATGACACGGGGTGGAGGAGGGCAGGAGCCCTTCCTCCCACCACGCCATGGTCCCGGTAGAATCAGGCCCCTGCCATGGTTTAAAAGGCAGTTACTGTGTGACTCGTAAAGAAGTACTGTTTAGTTTGAGCCTAGGCACATTCTGCTGTTGAATTCAGTGCACCTCCCAGCCTGCGGCTTCTGGCTCTCAGGAACAAGGGGGGGGGAGGGGGCTCTTTAAAAACTCTAAAATGTTTGCATCTCTTTCCCTCTCAGAGAGTCCCATCACCTTCTCCGAAAGCATCTATCCAGCAACCTGTAAGCAGCTCTCAACCTTCTGCGCAACAGGCACAAAGTGATCCTGTCAAGAAGGTAACTGCCTGTTCCGTTTCCATTGTGGGGTGGGTGGAGAGGAGAGGATGATGTATACAAATTGGCCCCTGAAGATGGGATTTGCAAGGCAGATGTCATCTCCCTGTACTGAGCTTGCTCTCAAAGCACCACCCACTAGATGCAGCGGAGTGGATGATTCACTGGAAACAGCAGTCACACTGCCTATTCACTGACATTACATATCCCCTAGTGTGGAAGTGGGTGGTTAGGATGCCGTAGCAGAATGAACTCTAAGCTTTTGGTAGGTTTGAGTCTTGGCTTCTCTTCTTTACTGTGGACTTGCCGTAGGCACATGCAGAGCAGAAGTGGGAATGTGTTTAGGGCCCAAAAGGCCTCACTGAGATGGGATTTCTGATCCGGCCTGTACCCGTGTCCTGGATGAGAAAGGAGTCTGTGCATAGTTTGTGCTGGCTTTCCTTAGTGCAGGTTTCTGTGGTGTTCGGTGCAATATTTGAAAAGGTTTTCACGCAGAACATTCAAACAGTAAGGGATATTACGAGAAGCTTCTTCGTAGCAGTAAAAAAAAAAACCCATCACGTTATTTATGGTAGAATATTAATCGTGAAGTAGCAATTGTCTTTTCACAGTCAGTCCCTGTCCAGTTTCTTCAATTTGAATGCAGCCTTTGCCCGAAAGAGCTTTCGCCCCTCTTCCAGTGCAGGAGCTGTATTCCCTCTCCTCACCTTAATGTGATTTCTGCTGGGGGGGGGGGGGGGGAGTCTTCCTCTCAGCCCTTCAGAAGGGAAAGGAAGGAACCCCCCCCCCCCATGCCCATGTAAATGAAGGCTGGGATAGCTGCTGGCCCCACTGGAAATGCCGTCTCCTGGGGCAGCAGTGCTTTACTTTTTTCCATAGGAATGCACAGCAGTCGTCGACACTTGTTGTGGAAAGTAAAGCGGTGTGTTTCGAGATGCCTGTGGGGTGGGAATGACACCTGTTCCTTCCTAGCCATTCAGAACGGATCCTTCTCTGATTTGCCGTAGCTCTGTCGCGGATTCTGTTTCTTGGTCATGCTGTGATGGAATGTTGAGTGCTGGCTTTTGCTCGCTTGGATGGCACATGTGTCACGTAGATATGCATTCTTGTTATGTGATTGTTGAATGTGCATTTGTGTGTGCTCATTGTGGAGATTGTCATAGGAGAGTGTTTGTGTGTGAGAAGGGCTGTCAAGTCGCTGCGGAGACCCCATGAATGAACGGCCTCCAAAACGTCCTGTCCTTAACAGCCTTGCTCAGGCCTGGCAAACTGAGGGCCTTTGTGGCCTCTTTGATTGAGTCAGTCAGCCAATCAATCTCATGTTGGGTCTTCCTCTTTCCCAGCTGGCCTCAACTTTTCCTAGCATCATTGTCTTTTCCAGTGACTCTTGTCTTCTCATAATGTGACCAAAGTACAATAGCCTCAAGTTAGTCATTTTGGCCCTAGGGAGAGGTCAGGCTTGGTTTGCTCCAGAACCCACTTATTTGCCTCTTCTCCAGCACCACATTTCAAAGGAATCAACTTTTTCCCTGTCAGCTTTCTTCATTGTCCAACGTCCACACCCATGCATAGCAATGGGGAATCCTGTAGTATGGATGTTTTTGGTCACCAGCAATACATCCTTACACTTAAAGAGTCTTTTCTAGCTCCTCTCTGGCTGCCCTTCCCAGTCTCAGTTCTCCTTCTGATTTCTCCCTTTGGTTGATGATGGAGCCAAGAAATAGAAAATCTTCAGCAATTTCAATTTCTTCATCATCAGCCTTAAAGTGTAATTCCTCAGCGGTCATCACTTTTCCCTTCTTGATGTTCAGCTTTAATCCTGCTTTGGCACTCTCTGCTTTAACCTTCATCAGTAGTCGTTTCAAGTTTTCACTGTTTTCTGCCAATATTGTGGTGTTCTCTGCATATCTGAAATTGTTAGCCTTCCTTCCACCAGTTTTCACTGCACCTTCATCTAAGTCTAATCCAGCTTTCCTTATGATATGTTCTGCATATAAATTGAAGAGAGGGAGATAAAAGACATCCTTGTCTGACACCTTTGCCAACTGGAAACTATTCTGTCCCTCCATATTCTGTCCTAACTGTAGCCTCTTGTCCAAAATAGAGGTCGCACATCAATTTGAAACCAGCCACAGCTTTTCATGATTCACATAGTAAAAAGCTTTCCTGTAATCTATGAAACACAAGATGATTTTCTTCTGAAATTCTCTCGTATGTTCCAGTAAGCAATGTTAATTTGCAGTGTGACCTCTAGTGCCTCTTCCCTTTCTGAATACAGCTGGAGCAGCTGGCATTTATCCATCCATGCACGGTAACAGTCTTTGTTGTAAGATTTTGAGCATCACTTTACTCGCATGAGAAATTAATGTGATGGTCTGATAGTCGCTGCAGTCTTTGACGTCTCTTACTTTGGAATTGGAATGTAGATTGAGCATTTCCAGTGTGATGGGAAAATAGATGCCCCCAATTACTTTTCGAGTCTTTTGCACTCAAAACATGCTTCTCAGTAAAAGCTGAATTACCTCGTCACCAATTCAAACTGCTTCAATATTTGTCATGTTGCCTTCTTTGTTTTGTGGCCATGGCAAACAGTTTGTAGAGTAAGGTTTAGAAGAAATTAAATGTTTCTTTGAAATGAATAGGAGTTTTGTAGGCCTTTGTGGCTGTGCTCTTGGTATTCTGTACACGCAGTATCTTGTCTAAAGGAACCCCCAACTGTCTTATCCGGTTGTGGGCATGAAGTTTGAGAATGAGAATGAGTGCGTGCACATGTGAAGGCCCAGAAATGGGCAGCCTTGCGAAGGGCTTGTGGGGACGGAGCGTGCATATCCTTCCTTGTGGCTCTGCTGCGGCTACTTTCCTGATTCCGTGTTTTCCTTCTGCATATCCGTTATCCTCCCAAGTTGTTTCTAGTATATTCTGATTGGTATGGAAACCCCCAAACAATGCAGCCCAGGGGTCGTGTATGGTGGAAGCAGTATAGTTACCTCTGTGGGTGGCATCCAGAGTGTTTCTTCAGGACAGAATCCATATTGGCGGAGAGGAGGCCCAGCTCTGCCCGAGTGCTGTGGATTCCTCTCGCTGCATGGCGTCACAAGACACCTCGGTGGCCGAACTGAATCCTCCCCCCCCCCTTCCCTTTTCATTAGGAAGCCTGGTGTTTCTCTCCTCCTCCTCAACTTTGCCGTCTCTCCATAGGGTCAGAAGCCAGGTCTGCTGATGGTCACTAGGCAGTTTCCTCAGACAGTCTTGTCTCTCTCAACACCTCCTGACTTGCAGCCCTTCCACCTAAATGGCTTCCACAAGGGACCCCTGAAAGCCAACGTTCCCGGCAGAGCTGGGCAGGCCAGTGTGCCCAAAAAGGTACACGAGTCAGCAAGCCTGACTGGGGAGCAGACGACTGTCTTTTGCACAGGGGATGGGGAGGGGAAAGAGGACCCACACGGATGTCACAGGCTCATGTCTAGGGAATTTGTCTTCCTTTGCCGTGCTGAAATGAGGCTGCCTCTGACATAGTCCTTACTGGTAGGCCAAGGGAAGGCGATCAGAAGGGGGTGTATAGAGCTGCCTGTCCAGAACTCAAGCACAAGCCTCTTGCAAGCTTCCACATCTAACAAGGCTTAGCTGGAGCTGGAGGGATTCTCCCCACCCGGAATAACACACACTTTTGCTTTGTTTTGGTGCTTCCTTGGAAGAGAAGGGGTTGCTGTGAAATGGGATTAAAATGTCCCTCCATTCAGGGCAAGGGCAGAAGACACCACTTCACCTCTGACTTGCCCTCATGATGCCGTCACACAGCCACATTTGATTGCCTGCGCAATATCATCATGCTGCCTGTAGTGATCCTTAGCTGTCTGGGATTTGCCCTGGGAAGAATCTCATTTTTAAGAAGAAAGCAGATGATCTGGTGTCAGACTTTGTGCAATAACCAGGTTCAGGGATGTTTTGAAATTTCTCCATTCTCCTTGACAGTTTTTATGGATGAACATTTGTTAGCGGATCTATACCGATCAAGATTGGGGGGTGGGGGTGGGGATTTTGAGCATTTTAGAGACTCATTTGCTCTGAGCGGCCAGCATTTTGAAGCAAATTTGTTCCACCTGTGAAAGGCCTCCTTTCACTTTTGCTCACACTCGTTTGCTCTTCCTTAGCATCCCACCGTGCAGATGTCATCAAAATACCTTTTGAGCAGTTCTGAATTTTGCAGTCTGTCCAGTTGTCTTACAGAGCAAAATAATGATCCTAGAATGCAATGAAGAATACCAGAGCCTTGAGTTTCCCCTCACATGTCTGTGGTAGGCTAGGCAAATTTTGCAAAGAAAATGGTCAATACCAGCCCCATGTTCTTCACGGTGTGCCTGTCTTTATGTCAGATTTATGATTGCATTCTTGGAGTATTCCTACATCATGATGTGATGGGAAATACCATAGTGAACAAGTAGGCCACATACAGTGTGTTGACTTCTGCCGTGCAACAGTCGATGACTGTGGGCTAAATGAAGTGCAGAGCTTTGCGGGTCAGAAGAGTCCTTGTTGGGTTGTGTGTGGCCTGCACGCTGTACGTTGTATACTCTTCGGTACTATGAATGTGGTGGGCGATATAAAAAACAGTAGTGTCCCTGCAGAGGGAAACAGGAGAGGTTGCATCAGTAGCTGTGCTGCTTGTTAGCTGAATAGGGATAATGTTTGCATCCCAAGAACTCACAGAAATGACCCATTTGAGAAGACCATTCTTGGCTTTTTATGGCCTCTCTTGTCCCTCCGCAGCTTCTCTCGCAGCCAGGCTCTCCGTCTCCACCCCACATGGAACTTGAACAGCAGAACTCATCTTTCTTTGCTGCTGCTCCACCACTGCCTCTCCCTGCGTCCTCCATGCTGATGAAAGAACCACCAGGTTATGAAGAGGCTGTGAAGCAACAACCAAAGCCCCCTGAGGTGAGGATGGCTGCTGTCCCTTAACATGTTAGGAAAGGGCAGGTGGTGCTGCTCTTCTGCAGGTGGAGCACACGCTGGACTGCCTGAAGGTTGGAGAGGTCTTGCTGGTCTGCCACAGATTGCAGGTGTCTACCATGGGGGTTGGATGTCAGTGTGCCATTCTTGCTGAGTGAATATATATGCATCTCTGCAGTGGGTGAATGAATGGTTTGACTGAAAGATTTGTGATCGTTAGGAGCTGGGAGTTGCAGTGTGCCCCTTGAGTGTCATGTCTAAACGAGCGTGTTCCCTTCTTTCTCAGGTTAATGGCTGTTCAAGTCAGCAGATGGATGACTTGTTTGACATTTTAATTGAGCATGGAGGTAAGAAGGGAAGGATTGTTTTATATCAGGTACCTCCTGGCCTACTCTCTTTGATGGTCTCTGTGGTTTGTACACATTGGCGTTGGCCATCTGGATGGATGCACTTAGAAGCCTCTGTACCAAGCAGCAGAGGTCTCTGCGTTCACTTGGTGTGGAAAGGGGCATCAGCACCACATATCGTCACACACGGAGCTGCCTTATACTGAACTAGAAATAATGCCCGTTGTGGAAATAAATACAACGGGATCTAGAAAGAGGCTCTGGGAGAGTGCTCTGGCTTTGGGCAAACAGTGTCAATTTCCTGTGGCGACCTCAGCAGGGTTTAATGACAGAATCCACTGTTTTCTCCAGAGGGACTGATCTCTGCTGCCTGAAGAGCATTTGTATGTTTGAGTTATCTGTAGCCCTCACCTGGAGAGTGGTAACCATTGTTACCCATTCTCCTCTCCCCTATGAGGTATGTTATGCAACTGAAAATTCCAACTGCCTTGCGGGAGGGGGGGGAGTTTGAGGTGTGGAATGGACTGAAGTCCAATCAGCTTCCATATGCAAAAGACCAGGTTGTCGCAGCAGTTGTGGTGTGGGTGGGACCCGGGCTTTGCCTTCTGATTGGTGGCGATATATGCTGAGGAGCAGTGCCATCAGCCATACACTAAGGGAGTGCATTTTAGAATTAGAACTTTGGCACCCACTATTCAATTATATATAAGGAGAGATTAGATCACTAGCCCATCAGAGTCAGTATTGTCTACTCAGACTGGCAGTGGCTCTCCCGGGGCTCAGGTGGAGGTCATTCACATCACCTACAGCCTGGTCCTCTTAGCTGTAGATGCCTTCTGCATACCAAGCAGATGCTCTGCCAATGAGCCACAGACCCTCTTAAGTGAAAGTGTCAGTCAGTCATCAAAGCAAGATGTCACCCTGCTGGTGAATTCTTTGGGTCTGGTTATAAGTGCACTGTTTACACTGCCCTGAAGATGGCCCGTGAGGGCTACCTGGGCTTTGCAGCATGTGGCAATATTGCCTGTATTGGTGGACTCAAGTGCATTTTTTCCCCTCACAGAGATTTCCGCTCAATTTAAGGAGCAGTCTTCCCCATCAAGGAAAGACACTGCTGTTTCTCCGGGATGCCCTTCTCCGTCCAACAGCCACCATTCCTCAGAGCTCTCCCTGCAGGTGTCCCTGGGCCACACCGGTCCTGTTAACCCTTCCTCGGCAGGCAGGCTGGAAGACTTCTTGGAGAGCAGCACTGGTCTCCCCTTGCTGACAGCTGGCCCCGATGGACCTGAGCCCCTGTCTCTGATTGACCTCTACAGTGAGATGCTCAGCAGTTCAGCTATCCTGGACCATCCGTCTTCACCTATGGACACATCAGAATTGCACTTTGCCCCTGAGCCCACTGGGGGACCAAGTTTAGACTTGGCTGAGGCTAATTTGGACAGCATGGATTGGTTGGAGCTGCCCGGAGGGCCAGTGATGAGCCTCACCCCCCTCAGTACTGCAACTCCTAGCCTCTTTTCCACAGACTTCCTCGATGGACATGATCTGCAGCTGCACTGGGATTCTTGCTTGTAGCTCTCTAAGCATGCAGACTGAAGGGAGCGGTACGGGTGGGTGTAGTATATGGGTGGGAGCTTAAGTGAAAGTGTCAGTCAATCTTAAGATCCCCAAATGTCAACCTGCTTTTGTGAAGTTAAGACAGTCAGGGGGAATCATCCGGTAACACCTTCTGAATGGTGGTTCCGCCTCTGGCAAGCTATGGCCGTTCTCAAGGCCTGTGGTGAGGTAAGGCATGGCCCCTTTTCCTCCAGTGCTCCCTAGTGTGGCCACCCCAGGTTGTCGAATGTATTAAGCACGGTGTACTGCTTCTCCTTTACAATACGGTGATGTGGCCAGGATGGGAACTTAGTTCAAGGCCAGGCATCCATAACAGGTTAGAAGAAATTACTTGAGAAGCCAGCGTTCCCCTTCTGGCCTTGAGTTTGCCTAGTTAGGAAGCATTTAAAAAAAGTCTGGCAAATGTTAACTTGATTATTTTATAAGGAAGGTTTCCTTAGGCTTAGAAGATGGGATGTGCTTCTGGGAGTTTTTCTGGGGCTGGGAAGGGAAGAGTACAGGACTGAGGAATCTGCTGCCCTTGGTTATCTGACTGGGCATCTGGTTCAAAGAGCCTTCTCCTACTAATGCCATAGTGTAGGTGCTTTTTTGCCCAAGTTCTGTGCCAGAGCCTAGGTGGCAGCCATTTTCCCTCGGCTTGCAGAGGGATTCCTGCCTGTGGTCATTGTCTCCCTGGCATGGCCCAACTACGAGCAGCCTGCCAAGATGGGCTGTCATCCAGCTGGCATCCGTTCACTCGTGTCCCAGGCAGTGGGTGGGCCTTCCTCACTGGACCATGAATCAGACCAGGCCAGCTGCATTGAGGAAAATGTCATTCACATTCTGCAGTAATCGCTCTACCCCCTCCTGTTCTTGGTAGCTCCACTTGTGAAGCCTAGTCAACTAGAACATGCAGTTGGAGTTCATGAATGTTTTGGCCTTTTTTGTGGCTTGACCTGTGGCAGCATAAACCATCTGTAGCAGCTCGGCTACACTTTGCAGTTCCTGGTGCTTTTGCTGTTCACTGAACTGCCCCCCCCTTGAGGTTTTCTGTGTATGAAAGCCGTGCTTCTGCTGCTCTAGAGGCTTGCGTCAGGGGATGTCTGTATATTCTATGCAGAGGCTGCTGTGGATGTATTTCTTCTTGGAGAGAAGTCAGCTGACAGTTGCTCTCAGAAGCATTAAAACACCCCCCCCCCAAAAAAAATAGGGCCTTGGCCAGAGCATGAATACCAACTTCCTATCAGAGGCAGGGGCCCTTTTGTGCTTGCTAAGGAGCGCTAGTGCTTGCTTTGAGCTGCATGACTGACTTCTGTCATTGCGCAGAGGAACGGAAATGTCCTGTAGCCATAGTCCTTGCTGCTGTGAATGGTTCCAAACCACAGTCTTGCCTCTTGGTATCTAGTTTCACTTCTAGCTGGTAAAATACCTGTATATAGCCCTGTAAAAATGCTTGTTTTGGAAAGCAAATGACGTAACCCACCTAATTAGAAAGTGTTACTTTCCTTGAGCTCCTTCTAGGTGATAAACTCTTCAGGAGCCAATCTTTCTAGCCTGTGGTTTGGTGGGAAAGAGGACTCGGGTCCTTGGGACTACCGTTTTTCGCCTTATTGCACATGTCACTCAAAGGAAATCGTACTCCCTATTTAGTCAGTTCCCCTCTCATTAAAAATATGTTGGTAATGCATCTTCAGGCACTGATGTCCCTCTCTGTGGCATAAGGGAGTAGATTGATCTCTCTAGTTTCACAGGAGTCCAGAAGCCCTTCCATATTTCTCTCATGCTGTAGAGACTATAACGTATCCTGTTCCCCTAATATAATGTAGGGACTTGGAAATGAGGTTGCAGTTAGTAGTGGCCAACTGCATGTAAAGTTTATTTCTTCCAGTAAAAATCCCTGTTTGAAAATCAGCGCAGAACAGTGGCTGAAGAGGCCCCGTGTTAATCTTTGTATTCTCTCCATGCCCTCTTTATCGCTCAGTCTGTGGCTAGCTGGGAAAGCTGGTTAGGCTTACGTGGACTATTCGTGGTATAGACAACCTTGCAAAGCAAGCCTTCCCATATAAATAGAACATCTTTGCTCCCACTAAGTAGTAAATGTATTTACACTTCTTAAATTCTCCTGGGCCAAGTGAGGGTCTCTTTGGTGGTGGCAGCAGCAGGTGGTGTTTGTGCAGAATGGTGCTATTTCAACAGCTACCTGGCTTTGAGAAGGTAAGCGTGTTTTTCTCTAGTGTAAAATGAATTATAGCAATAAGGCAAACTTTGATTGCAACACTATGTTAAACTTAGTGACAAAGAGTAACGGGGCCTGTTTGGAACACTGCTCAGCTATCATGGAACAGGAAAATTAAGATACTGGCAGTTTTTCTTCAGCATATGAAATTGGTAGCTCTGAGCTTAAAGAAAAGTTCCCTACATTCTCCTGTTGTACCCACAGCTGAATCACCACCCTAAGGATCTGCCTGTAGTTTGAATGTACTTGCTCTTCTGCTGATAACCACTCCTTGTATTTGATTTAGCACGCACACTTTTCTTCCACTATGCATCGATGAATGGGTTATCAGCATAGGCAAGCAGGCTTGGGCAGTGCTGTAGTATTGGGCCTAGAATAAACACGCAACTGGAAAAGGGCATGGAAGGAGCAGTTACTGGGAAAAGAGTGGACAAATCAAATTATTTTTTCAGTTACAGATATTTGAAAAAAAATCCATTTTATTAAAAAAATTGTGTTCTAGTATGTTTGTATATCTGATCTTTGATTGCAGCACTACAGATAACTATGCTCTGGTGAAAATACAGACCCTGCGCCTTGGACCTATGTAACGAACATGGCGGCATATGAGGAAAAGCTGTCCTCCACTGCCATGTGTTTCCTTTTGAAGAGAAAGCCTCATTGGTCAGAGGGATGCGACTGCACATCCTGAATTGCTAACGGGTCATTGACAGGGTTTCCTTCCTCTCCTACTTCCTTTATCAGATATCCACCGCCACCCTTAAGAACAACCACACTCCTAAAGTGTGTGCAGCTAACAGAGGACTGGTTCTTATTATCACAAAAGTGTTAATGCTGGCAAGAACAGTAAGGCTTTTGAAAGATCAATCCCATTTCCTCTCCTCCAGTGAAGACACAGTCACAAGATGTGCAATTTATTTATAAACCAAACTATCACATCCTTTCATTTCACGAGTTGATTGTGCTCCTCCACCAAGTGCATCCGTTATCACGAGTACTCTGACGGTGCTCCCCCCCACCCACCCCGGCGCGCGGGGTGTGTGCAGACTCTGCTGCTGTCCCCGGCGATGCCAGAGGGTGCTGTTATCGTCCCTGAGCCAGCTCAGTCTTGCCTTTACATCCTGAACTAAAATGTCAAAATATACAGAGATTTCTGGATATAATTTACATCTTTTTGGTTACTTAAAAAAAATCTGCTCTAAACCAAAATAACATCAAACAGATTCTGCCCAGCTATGACCCGAAGTTAAAGGATGGATTACTATTATGGTTGCTGCCACTACCATAACTACCTGCTTCCCTTCACAAGAGCCGAGGGATTTATCATCCAGTCATTTTAGGCACTTAGTGGCAGAACCATACCCCTTCATGCACTGCAGTGCCTGTAAAGTAGTCTGACATCAGGTTGTCTCCCTTGTCAAGGCTGTGTGTGTGTGGGGGTGCATCGTACAGCACAGTGTGTGTAAAAGGGGCCTCCAATAGATGAGCCTGCTTAATATCAGACTCACCTCTCAGACAGAGAAACTCAGCAGCTATTCACTCTTCTCTCCTCCTCCCCTTTCTGCACATACTTTTCAGATCTCCTGCAAAGGGAGAAGGGCTCGCTCCCCTCATGTGCTGGGCTCAAGGGAGACTCATGACTGCTTTTGAGAAGCTCTGCACAATCGGATTAATAACACCAAGGAAACAGTGGAGACGATCGCCATCACCTTCAGTGTGCTCTGGAAGCAGCTCAGAGCAGAGATCCTTTCCCTTGGTGGAGACGGGCAGGGCTATACAGTGCATGAAGGGGCAACAATCTGGTTGAGGAGGATCATATGCTGGGCGTTTGAAGCCACCTAAGCCGTCCAAACTGAATCAATGAGTCACCCGTCTATGTCCCAGCTAAACAGGTGGTGCTTCACAAGCATGTCTCGAACACCTTCCTTCAGTGGTTTCTTTTCCTTCTCCTACAGAAAGGAAATAAAGATAAAGTATGCAGGGAAAGTTATTGAGCACTTTTAGAAATTGATGCTGAAGTATACACTTTCTGGTGCAGGTGCCATACCCCCCCCCCCCCCCCCCCCCGGCCACCATAAAGCACATACAAAAAAAGAGACAGGAGGCAGCATCCTAGGGTCACTATAAGCACTGGTGGTGGAAGTGCTGTCTGCCACCTGGCAAGGGAGTGGCTCAGCCACATTGTTGTAGGATCACTCGCTTACCTCTCTCTTGATAGGGAGCTCCCAATCCTGTGAGAGGCTGAACGCAAACTTACTGAGGACTCTGCAATGGAATACACTGCCAGTTAGGGTTTAAATGAAGATGACGCATACACCAGCAGTCAAAGCAGTTCAGCCAAAATACCAACATTAATGGGTCTGACGTATTCAGTCATATTTAGGCGTATTTACTTTATTCTGTTACTACTCTGGAAATGCTGCACTTTGTATACAAACTACATTTTTCAGCTCATGCTTGTCTCGTTCCGCTGCTGTAAATCAAATCTTCAAGGAATGTGGACTTCATTAAACTCACTCGTCCTTTTTTGCTTTTTTTGGAGTTCCCCGGTCCGTGCGACCTTGCGGGGACTCATCCAAACTCTTGGAGGGAGCTTGGGTAGCAAGAGACTTTTTCGGCCACCCCACGGACGGCGGTTTGCGGCGGTGAGAGCAAATTGTCTCGATGCAGAAGCAGGAAATGGAGCAGAACATGGCTGTCATGTTCTGCATTAGTTGTGACCACCCGTTTTAAAATCTTTTTTTTTCTTCTCAATTCAACAGCAACAGTATCGTGAGTACACATATATCTGGCTATAAATAGTGAAGACCCCCAAAATGCCCCCCTACAGTTATCTCCAATTTGGAAAGTAAAAACGGCTAAGAAAAGAGAAGAGGTAAAGATTAGAAAATGGTGGTAGAAGGAGAAACTAAGGGACTTGCAACAGAGGAAACCAAATGGGACTTAGAAAATACAGAGATTGGTTCTTTAACAGTGGAACAATTAAAAAAATTCCTTTTTGATGAGGTACAACGAGCTGTGAAGGAAGCGTTTAAAAAAGTGTTGGAAGCCCGCGGAATAAAGATTTGGAAGCAGAAAATGAGGAACTGCTGCAGCCTCAGCAGAATTTGGAGAGCCCAGAAAAAGAGCAGGACTGTGGGCATGAAACAGAGACTCAGGATACGTGTCCACTATTTAGAAAACCGATTGTTTACAGCTGCATTAGTGGAGTAAAGAGCCCTGTAAAGCATAAACGATTGAGGATTGGGACCAGGAGAAAATCCCGAAAGTATGCACATGGAAAATGGAGTAAGACAGCCAAAGGGAGAGCAAGGTGTTTGTCAAGGGAAAATATCAGAGACAATAGAAAACTGAAGAAGAAAGAAACTGAACTGAAATGGCATATGGTGGAAGCCAAACACTATGAATTTAAAGAGATCAGACATTTGATTGTAATTGTTAACAAAAAGGTGCTTCAGGAAATAAAGCAAAAAAATGGACATGGTGTAGTGGTCGGTAAAACAACTGATTTTGTTTGAAGAAAATTGGATAATATCTGCATGTGATAAGTAATTTGTGACTGACTAGTAGATAAATTGGTGGAAAACAAAAAGGTACTTTTAAGTGGTAGAGAAATTTCACTTATTGATAGTATAAAATAATATTTTCTTCCCAAACCTACATAAAGTGGAAAGTAAAATTCCAGAGAGCTATGTCTTGAAAAGCTTTATTGCATCTTAGTTTGTATTTCTTTTCTTAGTGTCATACAAAGGGTTTTCTTTTAATTACTGCTCATATTGGGTATTAATGTTTGTAGTACCAATTATTGGTGATAAAATGTGAGTAAATTGTTAGTTAAGATACAACAGGATTAAATTAAGAGAGATTTGAAGAGATTTAAGATGCAGAAAAATAGGGAAATATAAAAATGTCTGTCTTGGAAAGAGATGAAACATTCTTGTTGGGAAAGGATACCTTAAGACTTAACTAATAGCTACATGATTAATAGTGGCACTATTGTTGTAAAGAAGGAAAAAGGATAGCAAGAGAGGAAGGTGTAAAGGAAGCACCTTGCCAGAGGCAGAGGAGGAAGCACCTTGCCAGAGGCAGAGGAGACCAGCTGAGCTCTGAGCAGGAGCAGGAGAGAGAGCTGTGAGAGAGGTGAGTGGGTTTCTTTTACTTGCTTTCAGCTGAGAGAATTCAGCTAAGGATATTTTGTGGGAAAACTGTGTTTAGCAGTGTGTGGAAGCACTTAGAGTTCTTGCAGAGTCCTGGCTGATTGAGTGTGGGAGAGGAACGGGCACTGTTTGACTGGGATTGCCTGTAATTGAGAGGAAGTGGAAGGGGCATTGTTTTGCCTGTGATTGAGTGCCTGGGTGAATTTGAATTTGAATAGCTGCTGCCTGACCTCTGCTGGGGGAGGCCTCTATTTAAGGAAACACCTTGGCAGAGGCACGAGCCTCTGGCACGAGCCGAAGGGTGAGCTAAAGGGCTCTTTGCCTGTGGCTCTTAGCCTAGGGACTCTTAGACTAGGGGCGCTGTAAGAAGCCCAAAAAGAGCCAGAAAGACAAGGCCCTAGGCTCTTTGTCTTTCCCGTAAAATAATTTGACTTGATAACAAAACCCACATAAATACCAAGGGTTTAAAAGGGGGATTATATTTATTTATTTTAAAAGAATTATGAAGCCAGAATGCCAGCAGGGGGTTGGGGGCTATCCAGTGTTTTGCACGGAGTGTCACATGTATGACTATCTGCCCACTGGGCAGAAGTCTTGGGTGTGTCCTCGGTGCAAGGAGCTCCTGGTTCTCAGGGAACGTGTGTGCTCCCTTGAGGCCAAGGTGGCTGACCTGGAGAAGCAGAGACAGTCAGCTAGGCACACAGAAAAGACTCTCGGGGACTTGTTAGCTTCGTCCCACTCTGGATCTGGCAGCCCCGCTGCTGTCAGGGAGCATGAGGGTCTAGGGGAAACAGGGCACCATGCTGAGGATAAGGGGAATGTGCCCTCAGAAGGGACCTCTTCCCCAGCTGGTGAGCGGCTCTCCTTTTGCACCAAGGAACCATCCCTGAGCAGGGTGGGAGGGGGGCTCTTGGTAGTGGGTGATTCGATCCTTAGGCAGGTAGACAGCTGGGTGGCGAACCCGCGTACTGACCGTATGGTGACTTGCCTGCCTGGTGCGAAGGTAGCGGACATTACGCGTGTTTTAGATAGGCTGGTAGATAGTGCTGGGGAGGAGCCAGTGGTCGTGGTGCATGTCGGCACCAACGATGTGGGGAAATGCAGTCGTGAGGTCCTGGAGGAGAAATTTAGGCTGCTGGGCAGGAAACTTAGGTCCAGGACCTCCAAGGTAGCCTTCTCAGAAGTGTTACCTGTTCCACGCGCAGGGCCGGAGAGACAGGCAGAGATCAGGAGTCTCAATGCGTGGATGAGACGATGGTGTAGGGGGGAAGGGTTCAGGTTTGTTAGGCACTGGGATACTTTTTGGAACAAGAGGGAGCTGTACAGGCGAGACGGTCTCCACTTGTCCCGAGAAGGAACCAGGCTGCTGGCACTTAAAATCAAAAAGGTGGCAGAGCAGCTTTTAAACTGAATATTGGGGGAAAGCCGACAGGAGATGAAAAGTCTCTGGTTCGGGTTGGCTCATCTGAGAGAGGTGAGGGGGTACCGGTTGCTTTTCTACAGGGAGGTGGATTGAAATTGTCCACAGAGGCCATGGCTGGTGACATGGACTGCCGGACAACGACTCGAGATAGCAAGAGGAAGGATGCAGGCTTAACTTGTAAGGGAAATTACAGCTGTTTCTATACAAATGCTAGAAGTGTCCGAGGTAAAATCGGGGAGTTGGAGTGCTTGGTGTCGGAGGGAAAAATAGACATTGTGGGTATTTCTGAAACTTGGTGGGATGAGGAAAATCAGTGGGACACAGTGATTCCCGGTTATATATTATATCGGAAGGATAGGGGGGGAAGGGTTGGAGGTGGGGTAGCTCTGTATGTCAGAGAGGGTATAAAGTCTAGAAAGATTGAGAGGCTAAGTGAATTGGATTCGCTTCTGGAAGTTCTATGGGTTGAAATAGGGGGGCCAAAAGGAAACTTAACACTGGGAGTTTGTTATCGCCCACCAGATCAAAAGATAGAGGAGGATTATAAAATGATGAATGCCTTAAAGATAGCAACTAGACAAAAACACTGTGTAATAATAGGTGATTTTAACTACCCACACATTGATTGGGTCAATATGTGTTCTAGTCGGGAAAAAGAGATTGAGTTTCTAGACACTCTAAATGACTGTGCTATGGAGCAGATGGTCACGGAACCTACCAGGGGAGAGGCGATCCTTGATTTGGTCCTAAGTAACACTCAAGACCTGGTGAGAGATGTAAAAGTGATTGCACCGCTTGGAAACAGTGATCATAATGTTGTTGAGTTCATCATTTGTACAAATAGAGAATTGGCCAAAAAGACTCACACAACCATTTTTAACTTTAAAAGGGGTAATTTCTCTGATATGAGGGGACACGTGGGGAGGAAACTGAAAGGAAAAGTAGAAAGGGTCAAAACAATTGGGGAAGCTTGGGATCTATTTAAAACTACGATCCTAGAAGCTCAAAAAATATATATTCCGCAGGTTAGGAAAGGCACAAACAGGTATAGGAAAAAGCCTGCATGGTTAACAAACAGAGTAATGGAGGCTGTAAAAAGTAAAAAGAATTCCTTTAAGCAGTGGAAAGCTAGTCACAGTGAGGCTGATAAAACGGAACACAGGCTATGGCAAATAAAATGCAAGTCTGAGGTCAGGCAGGCAAAAAGGGAATATGAGGAGCATATAGCAAAAAACGTAAAAACCAACAATAAAACTTTCTTCAAATACATTAGAAACAGGAAACCAGCCAGGGAGGCAGTGGGGCCCTTGGACGACCAAGGGGTAAAAGGAGTATTGAAGGATGATAGGGAAATGGCTGAGAAGCTAAATGCATTTTTTGCCTCCGTCTTCACTGTGGAAGATGAGAAGTGCTTGCCCACTCCAGAACCACTGATTTCAGGAGGGGTGTTGGAAGACCTGAGTCAGATTGAGGTGATGAGAGAGGAGGTCCTAAAACTGATAGACAACTTAAAAACTGAAAAATCACCAGGCCCAGATGGCATACATCCGAGAGTTCTGAAAGAACTCAAATGTGAACTTGTAGATCTCCTGACAAAGATATGTAATCTTTCCTTAAAATCTGCCTCCATTCCTGAGGATTGGAAGGTAGCTAATGTCACTCCCATCTTTAAAAAGGGTTCCAGAGGAGATCCGGGAAATTACAGGCCAGTCAGTCTGACGTCGATACCGGGTAAATTGGTGGAAACCATTATTAAGGAAAGAATTAGTAGGCACATAGATGAACAAAACCTATTGAGGCAGACTCAGCACGGTTTCTGTAAGGGAAGATCTTGTCTCACTAACCTGTTAGTGTTCTTTGAGGGGGTGAACAAACATGTGGACAAGGGGGATCCAATAGATATTATTTACCTTGACTTCCAGAAAGCTTTTGATAAAGTTCCTCATCAAAGGCTCCTAAGTAAGCTCAAAAATCATGGGATAGAAGGACAAGTCCTTTTATGGATCAAAAACTGGCTAGTTCATAGAAAACAGAGAGTGAGTGTAGGTGGGCAATTTTCTCAGTGGAGGGTGGTAAGCAGTGGGGTACCGCAGGGATCAGTACTTGGTCCACTGCTTTTTAACTTGTTCATTAATGATTTGGAGATGGGAGTAAGCAGTGAAGTGGCTAAATTTGCGGATGATACAAAGTTGTTCGGGGTGGTGAAAACCAGTGAGGATTGTGAGGCACTCCAAGGGGATCTGTCAAGGATGGGCGAGTGGGCGTCAACATGGCAAATGGGGTTCAATGTGGCCAAGTGCAAGGTGATGCACATTGGAGCCAAAAATCCTAAATATAAATACACATTGATGGGGTCTGAACTGGCAGAGACTGATCAAGAGAGAGATCTTGGAGTTGTAGTAGATAACTCACTGAAAATGTCGAGACAGTGTGTGACTGCAATAAAGAAGGCCAATGCTATGCTGGGGATTATTAGGAAGGGTATTGTAAACAGATCAGCCAATATCATAATGCCGCTATATAAATCAATGGTGCGACCTCATTTGGAATACTGTGTGCAGTTCTGGGCACCACACCTTAAAAAGGATATTATAGCTTTGGAAAAAGTGCAGAAAAGGGCAACTCGAATGATAAAAGGGTTGGAACACTTTCCCTATGAGGAAAGGTTAAAGCGCTTAGGGCTCTTTAGCTTGGAGAAAAGACGACTGAGGGGTGACATGATCGAGGTTTATAAGATTATGCATGGGAAAGAGCAGGTAGAGAAAGAGGTACTTTTCTCCCTTTCTCACAATACAAGAACTCGTGGGCACTCCATGAAACTGCAGAGCGGTCGGGTTAGAACGGATAAAAGGAAGTATTTCTTCACCCAAAGAGTGATTAACACATGGAATTCACTGCCACAGGAAGTGGTGGCGGCTACAAGCATGGACAGCTTCAAAAGGGAATTAGATAAGCATATGGAGCAGAGGTCCATCAGTGGCTATTAGCCACAAGGTATAGCTAGGGGCTCTGGGGCAAGTGATGCTCTGTCTTCTTGGTCCTTGGGGGAAATATAAAAATGTCTGTCTTGGAAAGAGATGAAACATTCTTGTTGGGAAAGCATATCTTAAGACTTCACTAATAGCGAAATGATTAATAGTGGCACTATTGTTGTAAAGAAGGAAAAAGGATAGCGAGAGAGGAAGGTGTAAAGATAGCCTATCTATAAGAGAAAATATGTTACGTGAAAATGGTAATTTGATGAGATGTATGGGTATGTGACATGGCAGAAATGAGAGGATAAAAAAATAGGAATGTTAGGTGGAAAAGTTAAGTTGTTGATAGTGTATGGTTATGTGAGAGGACAATTACAAGTAAAAGGTGGACAAAGTGAGGAAAGGGTTCATCTATAGAGAACTATAGAAGGTTTAAGAATGGGCCAATCAGTTACTGAAAGATTTATGAAAAATCTATACAAGGCCTGAATTATGACTTGGGCTGTTATCTAAGTGAGGATTTATTGCTGATAGTATGGGTTCAGAGGGTTAGGTGGAAAAGGAACTAACAATTAATCAAACCTTTAATTAGGTTTTTTAATATATATATATAATTATTTATGTGATGTGAATACTTATTTGCTGATAATTTGGAGATGCTTAAAGGAAAGAGATAGGGAAAAATTTGGAAAAATGGTTTGCTAATAGAAAACGATATCTTGGTCTATTGGAAATAAAGGATGAAAGTATTAACCTGAGCTAATATTATCAGGGGTAAATTAAGTTATATCAACTAGCAGAAATATATGAGGAATTATTTTATTATTTTAAAAAATTGTGTTGCTGTAATGTACATGCTTTAGTTCTTTCCTTTTTGTTTCCGTTTTGTTTGGAAAATGAATAAAAAGATTATTAAAAAAAACAGCCGTGGAGAGGAGAGAAGCAAAGAAGAGACTGCAGATTGATAGCAGGGAGGCCTGAGAGGGAGTTTGTGCCTGCTAAGCAGTGGCCACGGAGGAAGGGACGAGGCATTCTGCACCACCCTTAGCACTTCTGCCTGTACATTTGCAAGCTCTTCTCTGCAGCAACATTTTTTCTTTTTTAAATTCCCAGCATCTTCTTTGCCTGACGTTTGGGAGTGCCAAATGCCACAGACCACCAAAATACAACTGGCAGTGCCTCAAGAATACTGTGGGGGTATAGGCAGCACCTCCTCCTATGCTCTATCCAGCCGTAAGAAATCTCCTGTTTACCCAATGGAAGTGAACGCCTCCTGGCCTACAAGTGTTAAGGAAGCAACCCTTTTCTGAATTTAGCAAATTATACAAGATGCGCTAATAGGGCAAACGGGGGTGGGTGGGAAACATCTCACTAGCTTTCAGATGAGAGATGGAATGAGGCACTGGAATGGCAACTGATACAACTCCATGTCTGAAAGAGACATAGGAGAAACTGCTGCCCAGGCAGGGAAAAGAGTAGAGAAACAGACAGTGTCAGAACCCCTGATCAGGCCCTGCACAAGCCAACTATGCTGTAGCTTCTTTTCTTTTCAGCTTTCCAGCCTCTTCTGATGCAAGGAACCGTGAAGAGAAAAATCTTTACATTATCCCTCCGCATTTATAGCAATCTCCTCTGTCAGGAAGCTAAAAATTGGAATAGGTTTTGATATATTCCTTCTACCACAGGCATGTTCCAGAAGAGGGGCTGTGGAGAGTGCAGAGCAAGGGAGGAGGAGGAGGAAAGAGGCTCAAACCCACCTGAGCTCACACTTGATCTGTACCCAGCCAGGGCTGCGCAGGAATGACCAGGGATGGAACCACTTTTCCACCGTCTGCAGGCTGGAGCACAACACCTCCAGCCACAGGTGCAGCACCTGCTCACTGCAACACAAGCCACCGGGAGAGTTACCAGCACCACAGAATCTCAAAACCAAAAGCTGCACGCACACACCACAGCCAAGTGTGCAAAGTAACAGCCTTCTGATCATGCACAATCGGCGCCTCTTCCCCACTCTCATTTTCTACTCTGTGCCAACAAAAGTAGCATCTAAAGAAACTGAGCCTTACTTGAGTCCAATGCAGATGAGAGAACGAAGCTTCACGTCCATCTGAGCGTGTGCTGCATCATGCGACATATTCACTGATTGCACGGCCTGCCAGGGGAAAAAGGGAATTGTTTGGATTCTAATCTGGTAGCCTCATATCCTCGCAGTGTCAACCTTGGTCATGTAATTTACTGCAACCAGGAAAGCTTACAACAGTGACATCACCACCATGTTTCACACACAGCACTTGGTCTCTAGAAGCAGTGCAAAAAAGGACAAGGCTTGCATCTCTCTACAGTGCCATCTGCTGGAAATGGCTGGCACTGTCAGTTCCGTGGGCTTAAGGACAGACTGAACACAAAGATACTGTCTTCAGAGAAAGCCTTCTTGAGAACTTATACTACCTGATGTCATCCATGGGCCAAAATACTCACTCGATAAAGCAGCTCTTCTGGAGTTAGAACTTTTCCATCTTCATCCAGCCTAAAACAGTAAAGCAACAGATCTAGCATATACCACAAATGGCATCTTTCCCTGCCCAATATCAAGCTTTATGATGATTCTCAGTAGACAATGGACATTTCACCAGAGATGGACACGACAGCTCTAAGCAGGGCAGCCTCCTCCAATGAGGAGCTGCTGTAGCTATCACTGGCTATCCCCCCACCCCCATTTTGTGGTTACTTTAACAAGGAAATGTGAAAGACAAGGAGAGCTTTGTAACAGAGCAGTACTTGACAAACAGAAAACAGCTAACTTGTTTGATTGAAGAGAAAACCTTTACCTGTATGTTTTACAGAGCACAAGACGAGAATACACAGAGTCAAAGTCTCGTTCTACTTCACGCCCAGCAGCCTAGAGAAGAAGACAAGCACAAACTGATCTCAGGGTTGCTGGTACTTCCATGGCTCTTCCTGGTAACTGATATCCCAGGAAGGTTTTTTCCCACCAGTACAGTCTGTTTCTGAGAAATAAAATGCCTCTTTGCATCACCATCCTTTCTCGGATTCTATGTGCCTGGGACTGCAAAGACAGAGTCAGATTGTGATTCATGTATTCGCCAGACTATTTCCAAGACAGCAGGTGCCCTCTTACCTCTTCGATGAAAAGCCAGGGGTGGCAGGGCCCCCCCAGCAGAGATGGCCTCTTCAGGCCATGTTCAAATATGGCCTTGAGGGCTGGACAGAGTGTCCCCCGAACCAAATCTGTCACACCCTCAGTGACAGAGTCATCTCCAGCAATAGAATACTGGAAAACAAAATTGCAGACTGCTGTTAATACTCCAGAGAGGACACAATCCCCAGAATGGAAGGCAAGATGAACAAATCTTGGCCATGCAATCTGCAGATGCTGGTCTACATGCCTATGTCTTTGCTTCATGCCTGGATGCCCATGCTCACCACTGGTCACCTGACTAGCAAGTGTGTGGGTGGAGCTTTTCAAAACTTATTTTTTGCTCACTGCTTCATTCCCACACACTCAGCAAGTGGATGATGATAAATCTTCTGTTTCTCAGAAATCTATTAAATTCTGCCTTTTCTCCATCTTGTGCAAACTTGGATTTGTCACTTACTTCTGTGTTCTCTGCTTCTCCTGTTGTGGGTGGGAATGCACATATTGCCTACTTCCCAGATCCATTAAAGCAAAGAATATGCTGAGCTTCCAGAGAGTGAGGCTGTATTGAAGGCTTTCGTTTTTAGGAGGAGTCACAGTTTGTCCTTGGGCTACTTATAGGTCTGAACTCATCCTGCACAGGATTCCTAGACACCCCTCCATTTATTCATCTTTTATACATGTATGCAGTCCCTGTTGCATGGCATCAGCCCCACCAGCAAGTCCGTTGTAAAAAACCAACCCAGGGGCACGAAAAGCAGTAAAGGGTGGTGGTATAATCCGACTCTGGCACAGGATATGAATGCATGAGGGGGAATCTTCAAGAGCCAGGAAGGTTTACCTCTTTGCTCCGTTCATCTAGGACCTCCACAAACTTTGCAGGAAACCAGCCTAAAAAAGAATAGGAAGGAGGAAAACCACTTATAATGAAGCACCTGCTCATTACTAAAAGCCAGTCCACAGAAAAATTCTGGCAGCAGCCTCTGAATCAAAAGAGCAAGCAATATTTAAGGAACGGGCTCCAACGGCAGCCTGTGCAACAAGAACAGGCTCTCTTAGTAGAGAGAAGAGACTTGGGGAAAATGCCACATGGCCTGTGGAGCCACCGTTCACACCATTCCACCCTTGTACTAGATGTGTTTACACTTACCTCTCAGGCCGTTCAGCTCTCCCACCCAACAGTGCTCATCCTTCTGGGAAATTATCTGTAGAATTTGAAAGGAGAAACAGTGACTTGGCCACAGATCACAAACAGTGAAACGCAGGAGCAAATAAGGAAAAAGCTTTCTCCAAAGTGACACCTGACTATTTTTCATCTTGCTTGCTGACATACACGGCGCCTAATCATAATGACATGTGTGTGTTCCGGTTTCTGGCGACACGCTGGCGGACGCATCTCCTGGACCTCCCGGGGAAGTGATCTGCACACCAGCGGAAAGGGTGGGGGCAACGGGTCGCTACCCCCCTCTTGGCAAAAAGCTCCTAGCCATGGGACTTTTGAGGGGTGGCCTCTTCACCAGCACGATGCTGGGGAATTGAGGCGCTCCTCCGTCCCGACGGTCCTGCCGCTGAGTGTCCGTATGGAACTAGAGCCGCTGACCGGAACAAGTGTTGGAGATCGAGCGTTTTGAATGTATGCCGAGCAAGGTCGTATGACCAACAATGAACTGTGAGTCGGTTAAAGCAAAACAAGAATTTTAAAAGAAAGCTACCCCCTGGGAACGGCGAAAAAAGCGAGCGGGGAGGTGCCCCTCCCATACGCATGAACAAAACAACGAAATACTAAGGGGGAAGCGGAAGAAAAAGCGGTGAAATCTGTTTTGAGAGACTTACCAGAGCGTGGGTAAGCTTATGGGCATATTTCAGAGACTTTAGCAAGTTTTCATAAAAGTAAACGATCCATAAAGATGGCGGGGAAGAGGGCAGAGAAAGACAAACCAGCAAAAGTGAAACCAGCTGGGATTGTGAGCCCTCGACTGGAAGAGACCACTGAGCTTTCCAAAATGTTGGCAGAGTCCTTGCGCCCTCTGCTGGACCAGATGACTAATATCGAGCAACAGCTGATGAATCTAAACCAGAATCTGGCAATTCAGCAGCTCCAACTGACTGAGACTTTAAAAATAACGGAGCAAACTGTTGAGAAGGTGAAGGAAATGGACACCAATGCCAAAAAGGTCAAGAAAAAGGTGCAAAAGCTGGAAAAGAAACAAGCCTCGGAAGAATCACAACTTTTACAGCTGCAAATGGAGAAAGCAGATTTGGTTCTACGGTTCCAAGGGGTCCCAGAATTAAAAGGTGAGAATCTAAAGCAACTTCTGAGTGAAGCATTAGCCCCAGTTACAGATTTGAAAGCGGAGTATCTTGCAAGCGAAATGGATGTGGTCTATAGGTCCTATTCCGTGTACATCAAAAAGAATTATCTGCCTGGGGAAGAAAAAGAATAATCTGCCTGGGGAAATAGTGGCTAGATTCTCAAAGTGACATGTGAGGGATTCTATCCTGAAAGCAACAACAGGAACACCGTTGAAAATCGGAGACAACACCATCAGGATTTTAAAAGACATTCCATTTGAAACAAGGCAAAAGAGAAAGAAATATAAAGATTTAATCCTTTTTCTCCAAACAAATAGCATTGTGTATAGATGGTTAATTCCAGAACGCGTCATTTTCAAACTACATGATAAAAAAAGAAAAGATTGGCTCTGTTTCCAAAGCACGTGAGTTCCTGAGAGTGCAGCTGGGAGAGCCAACTGAGCCAGCCGAGGTCGAGAAGGAAGAAGATGTCAGCAAATCCAATGGCGAACTGGACTCGGTGTCTTCCGACGAGGACTCTCTTTCTGGTAAGGGGGCGGCTGCCCCTAAGCGTACATATAAATTGAGGATTAGAAAAGATAAGACAAAATGAAGGCTGAAGGACTCTGAATTGTGCCTTTAAACTTTAGTTTTATGGTGGGATGCTCTGGGGGCTCTCTTAAATGGTTAAAAAACGGTGGTTGCTTACCTGTAACCGTTGTTCATTGAAAGTGGCTTCTGTGCGGGCACACATGGGACTGCAGTAGGCAGGCCGACCACCGGGAGGAGCTAGCGAGCTTCTTTTTAGAATTTTCAACCCGAGAGGGCTAGGCTCCAACGAGGAGGCGGTTTCCCGCCCAAAACACCACCTGACCTGGGCGGAGCCAGCCCTCTCCCCTCAGTTCTCCTCTGCCGCTTATTGTCGCGGAAGACTCCCACAGTGGGGAAGGAGGGAGGGATGTGTGCCCGCACAGAAGCCACTTTCAATGAACAACGGTTACAGGTAAGC